CTCTCGCCCGATTTCTTTTCGTACCAGTTGTATATCTTTCCTCCTCCAAATCTGTCTAACAATCCTCGTAGGTGAAGGCTTAGATGGATCGTTGGAGGTATGCCTCTCTCTGATTTGCGCCGCTAGAGTCCTGGTTAAGGTTGGCAAGAATGTCAAAGCATGATCTGGAAGCAACGGTTTTTTCACGACTGTGATGTGTGGGTTGGAAAATCCACTAGGTTTCTTAGAATCGAGAGCTTCTCGAGTACTTGTACTTCATCCATTCTCCATATTCATTTTCTAGCAGGTCAGATTATTTTTCGGTGAGTCTCGGGGTGCTTGACTAAGATTTTCAATCTTGAGCTTTCTTCGAGTACCTTTGGTTACTGTTGCTGGTGCTGTTTGGCCGATAGGATGTTTTCCTTTTGTAGATCTATTTTCATTTTTGTTCTTTAGGTTATGTGGGAAAATATTTTTGTTATGCCCATAGCATCCACACCAAAGCAAATTAGATTTAAACTTTCATATTCTATGTATATAAATTCATCCCTGATCAATAGCTTGGGTACCGATTTTTTTTGGAGATCAATTTCAACACTAATTCTCATGAACTTCCCTCTTTCCGTCTTCCCCTGTTTGTCTTTAGAATCAGACTCAAATAAAGAGTTGGAATTGACTTTCAGAGTTTTTCCAATACAATTTCCTAATCTTCATAGAATTTCTTTATCATAGCATTGTGGGGATTTAGATAATCTGACCCATAGTACGACCTTGCCTAAGATATTTGAGTTCGGATTGAAGTGGGTGCCCAATGTTGCACAAGAATACAGTGGTCAAAAATTGTCCAAGGGCCACCGTTCAGGATTTTATCATAGGTAGATTGATCATTGGTTCTAATAATGTAATAACAATTAACCAGATCAATCAATTCATAATCTCTTGTTGCCACATTTTAGCTAACCTGGGCTTTAGAGATTTAGGATTGAGATGTAATCCCAGAGTATTGATGACTATGGCATCCATCCATAACAAGCATATATTCTTCCATTCCTCATTAGAAATTTGGAGAGTTGGGTGCTGGTGTATTAGTTTTTTTGTTCTTTTAGATGGTGACCAATCTGTCTCTAGTTCTTTTACAAGTGCTTCGTTTCTATGGTTAGATTCCTTTCCAGTTTTGATTCCATAGCAACCATTGTAGCCTATCAGTGACTCCTTATAAGAGATAGGAGCTTCAATTCCTTGAGGCATTGAAGTTTTTATTATGGTTTACATTTTCAGCAGGGCCATCATGTGATTGCACTTCTATTTGTTGGTCTTGATGATTCACATCGCTGTCCATGCTTATCTGTTGAGTCTGGATTTGTGAATGATGTTGAGTTTCTAGATGTGAATGTTGTTGAGCTTCTGTTTCTTTATCGATCATCACATCATTTGCTTTAGAGTTGTTTCTGTGCAATAAATAAGTTTCCTCCTTGGACGCAGGTGGATTCATAGACTCTTTATATGATTGTGTAGTTGAAAAGATAAAGTTTGGATTGATTGCTTGTTTGGTGATCATGAAGTAGGGTAGAGTAGAGCAGAGTAAACACTGGATCAAGAGACAAGAAAGAGAACAAGGGAGAAGTAGAACCTTCTCTCCAGGAAACTAGAGAGAGGGTAGAGCTTCTCTCTCTAGCATTTCATAGATAGACGTGCATTTATTTTATTTTTTTAAAGCTAACTGTCTTAAGGGAAAATACTTCTGACAAATCTATAGCACACATAGCCAACAAGTGTTTTGTGAAAGGAGGCTAAATATCTATTCTTGCATATAAAAACAGAAGTCTTAGTGCGCATGCGTTTATAATATCTTTTGCATACAAATAATAATAATAATAATAATAATAATAATAATAATAATAATATTTAAATTGAACAGTGTGAATGATTATGGAATAAAATGAGGTATTATTTTTTAATAAAAATTAATTATTATTAATAACAATTAAGTAAATTAGAAAACTAAATTTCAGTGAATCTTGGGCTCAAAATTTAAAGATAAAATTTATTCAAATTCAAGTTAATGGTAAAGCCTTCAATTTAAGATGATGATGATTTACCGTTCAACCATAATTTCTGTTGGGCTTTCTTTTATTTATTTATTTCCTTCCCTTTGCATTGAGGGCTTTTTATTTCCAATCATGAGTGATGAGCCCATCTGCGCGATTCTGCCAAGCTGTTATTAGTGGCTGCTATCATGTAACCAAAGCGAGGCGCAAATAATTGACGGTATTTGCGGCGTGATTCTTGAAGACTGGGACTCAGTCATTTGGAAACGATTGGCTGGGGTCTCATGCCTTGCTAGGGTTTTAAACCCTCGCCTCGTTTTCGGAGGGTTCTCCGCACGGCGGAGCGATGCCGTCTATGGCAATCTTTTCTCGGCACAGGCCGAGTGTGAGGGAGGGTTTCGTTTGGCTCGGTGCGTTTGTGCACTGGGCAATTCGGTTTTGTGTGTGGGCATTCTCAAAGAGGGTTGATGTCAATTTTGGGATATTGGTCTTCGGTAGAACGGTTGAACGATCTGAGGCAGAGGCGACTGGGATCTAAGGCAAGTTTGAGGATTTTGAAGGAGGAAATTGTGAGTTTGTGTTCTCTTTGTGCGATGAACGATGAAGGTGGTGGCAAATGCGCGTCGATGTTAGTGGCAAATGTGCGTCGATTTTCCCTCCTAATCACCTGTCCGCCACTTTCATTCCTTCCACTCTCTCTTCTAGAATGTCCTAAGCAAGAGACAGGGGGTGTACATGTATTTGATTCGGTCACAACCGAAGGCAGCACTAAGAAGGTGAAGGGGACAGTGCGCGTCTATTTGAAGTGCCATCTGTGACCCAGTTCATGTTGTTCTTGGTTGGCGGTGAGGGTCATCAAGGGAGGCGGAGGACAAATGAGAATGAGATCGACATCCACTCTGACCCCTTCAGGTTGTTTAAATATCTTGTCGCTTTTGCCCATTAACGATCTATATCAGAATATAGAAGCCAATAATCCCTGTCTTCTCCGCTGTTCTTCTTTATTTTTCTTCTTCAGTCATATTGCCATGCTTTTTTATTCCCCCCCCCCAAAGTTCTGATCAATTGTTCTTAATTACTTGTTCGTTTGTTTTCCTCCTTCATCTAGGATTTCTCCATTAAATTAACCTTTGGAAGAAGAATTTGCGATGGGGGAAAGGATTTGGGAGGAGTGAAGAATGGTAATTGATCCAACATCTCTCACGGTTAATGCACTTATATTTTGCTAAAAAAATTATCCTTTCTCTTCCTCTATGCTTCAATTACCCTACCGAATGATAGCATTCAATAGATACAAAGCTTGGTCATTTCTGTCGATTTCTCCTTCCATTCTTCATTAGTTTTTAAACTTTAAGTCTTTCTCTCTCTGCATCATCCTTCCTTTACTTCTACAGTGCACCACAACCAAAACTCTTCACTATAGTCTAAATAGAATCATTTTACATTGTGCTCTTCAAATATGGTTTTCATGCTCATCATTTTCTTTTGGACATCGAGAAGAACCGCAGCACCCTCTTTTGGAAACTTGTGAATGTTGTTTGTATTATGTACTTGATTTTTATATTGTGTCTGTATTGCTTCACAAAGTTTGGTTGATTGGATTACATCTCAGATTCCTTCATTTAATGGTGAATGGTCAACAGTTTTTATTTTGGGCTTATGATTAATATAAACTTGCTAATAGTCTTTTATTTGTGGGTGTTATGATTGATTGTTGGATGTGGTCAAATATATAGAAGAGCACTGAATATATCTTTTGATATATTTGAATTGGGTTTAACTTACATTGTTCCTTTGTGAGCAGTGATTTCTTACATTGAATACTCTATAGTGTATGAGATGTTAATTTGCTGCCAGAATAGAAAGCTGATTTGGTATTAAAAGTTTAAAACATATAATTTAGCATGTGTTTAGTCTTAATAGTATTTGCTAAACCACAATTAAATGCTTGATCTCCGTCCCCTTGTAATAAACTTGTGTGCTTAGGCATATGAGTTGGAACTTCAACATGAGTTGGGGCTATTGCATTTTGACCCTGTTGATCGGCATCATATACGTGGTTGAAGCAAGAAATTCTTTATTTGTTAGCCATCAAATAGGGTAATAAGTAGTAATGGATTTTTTTTATTGGTCTGAAAAAAAAAAACCAATCCATTACTTCAAAGAAAACAATATCATACTCACTGGCATGTTTTATTATGTGGACTTTGTGGTCAATGTCTGTAGTATGTATGGAACCAAGTTCATTGTGAACTTACTTGAGAGGAAAACAAGGTTTAACCTCCATTTTCATCTCAAGACGCGGCATAGAAAGCTATGCTCATGCATTTTCTGACAACTGTGGTGATAAATTATGTTTTTTAGAGTATACTTCAGGAAACAATACTCTGATTCTCTTTTGAGTTTACTTCAGCAAACAACACTCCAATTCTCTTTTGCTTGAATGGGAAAAAAAGCTCGGTAAAATAAAATTTGACTTAAATTTTTTGGATGCAGCGCTCCTTGTGACATTGTTGGTGATATTAGCTATGAAGAATTGCAGGCAGCGGCATATGAGGATGCTAAGCATGGGATGACCTTCCAATCAATTGTAAATTGACAGTCAAGTTAATGTAACAGCTGGCCTCTTTTCACTCTCAATTTGGTAGTTTGTGATTATTCACACTGAAAAATTCCATCTAAAAATCTCATTGGGTAACTTGGTCTTTTCCAAAGTCTCCTCACTCATTTGGGCAGTTTTACCCTACTGGATTAATATTAATATCATTGCAGATTTTTGGTCAGAAAGAAAATATTCTCCTTACATTCGTGATGTATTGGTCTAGCTGTAAACAGTTGCATCAATATGTTTAACCTTTTTTTTTTTCCATATTCTTCTTGATTTTTTAACCTTTCGTTAATTCTTAGGAATTGATTTAAGCTCAAAAAATAATTACTCACTTGACTTTGGTACTGCTTGAGAAATTTCCCTTATGCTGACAAGTTGATAAGAACTTAGAATAGTAGGGATTAGGAAGAGTAATCTGCTAAGTTAGTCAGAGCAAGGATCTCACTCTAAATAACTTAACAGCCAAGTAGGAGAATCTCCAAAGGAGTAACGGGTTTACTTCTTCATTCATATCCTGCTGTGTATGGGAGCTTGGATATTTAAAATAAAGGAGTACAACTGAATAATTCAAATAATGCAAGATACTAGCCTAAAAATTAGGAACTAACACGCAGGAACCTCCCTAACAACCTTGAGGTCCTATTATTTAGCAACTAATACTTAAAACAGAATAAAAATTCAAATAACAATCCAAATAACAGCAATAATTAATTTAAATCAGATAAATCTCTTAAAACATGCATGACTGCATCAGTTTCAACTATCTTCCTCTTCTTTCTACGATGATAAGTTATTAGTGGTCTCCTAAGCTAACTTGGATCCTTATCATTACTCCCCCCTGAAAAAATGACTTGTCCTCAAGGTGGAAGGTTGGAAATTGCTGTGCAAAGAGATCATAATCTTCCCAACTTGATTCATCCTTTGGTCTGGATTCCCACTGGATCAATAACTCCAAATGAGGTCCCTTCCAGTGATGAGATAGTACTGTTTCAGGTGCCAAAATGAGTTCAAAATCCGTTGAGAGTGGCAATTCAGCTAGAGGGTCCAGAGGAGGCATCCCTGAGCTCCTCGCAATAATGAGACATGAAAAATTGGGTGAATTTTAGCTGTTGAAGGGAGCTTCAGTTCATAAGCCTTTGGTCCCACCTTGCAAACTATGCTATAAGGCCCAAAAAACCTAGGTGAGAGCTTGTCATGATTCTTGTGTGACAGTGAGCGTTGCCTGAAGGGCTGAATCTGTAAGAAAACTGTATCTCCTACCTCAAAAGAGAGCTCATGCGGATGATGGTTAGCATACATCTTCAGTTGGTGTTGAGCTTTGTTCAAATTATCCTTGAGCAGTTGCAGCATTTGGTCTCTAGTTTCCAATTGTACAGCAAGGTCATCAATATGAGTTTCACCTTTAATGAAAGGATGAAGGGGAGGTGGGTCCCTACAATACACCACCTTGAAGGGAGTAGTGTTGTGCCAACATGGAAACTGCTGTTGAATGAAAATTCAGCCCAACATAAAAACTTATTCCAAGAATGTGGCTGTTCATGTGCAAAACACCTTGGGCAAGTCTTAAGACAACGGTTGACCACTTCAATTTGCCCATCACTCTGTGGGTGGCAGGTAGTATTCATTTGAATGTGAGTTTGACTTAATTTGAACAATTCTTGCCAAAAGGCACTCAAGAAAAGTGAGTCCCTATTTGAAACAATGTAATGAGGTTTGCCATGCAAACGAACAATTTCTTTACAAAAACGAGTGGCCACAGATTTTGCAGTATGAGGATGTGATAGGGGAATAACATTGTAGTATTTACTCAGCCTAACAACTACCACCAATATAGTGTCAAAGCCACCAGATTTGGGCAACCCCACAATAAAATCAAGGGAAATATCTTCCCAAATTTGGGTAGGAATAGGTAAAAACTGCAAAAAAACCAGCAGGAGATAGAGTTTCATACTTATTCTTCTGACAAGTAAAGCATTGCTGTGCTATAGCTTTCACATCATGTTTCATTTTGGGTCAGTAAACTGTATTTGATAGAAGCTTTAAAGTTTTTAAGAAGCCCCCATGACCCCCAGAAGGCGTCACATGTGCCTCTTGTAGCAGCTTGGAGTGAGGAGAGGAGCTTTGGGGAATGACCAAGCGCCCATTAAAATACAATTTCTGCTCAACCAAGCTGTAACCAGGGTGAGAGCTTGGATTTTCTTTCAACGCAGCAATGATAGCAGCTGTAAATGAGTCAGCTATCAAAGCCTGCTGCAATTCTAGATACTTCAATGGTACAGGTATCACCATAGTGAGAAAATCAGCATGTTGTGGCCTCCTGGACAGTGAATCAGCCCCAATATTTTCTTTTCCAGCCTTATACACAAGAGTAAAATCAAAGGAAAGGAGTTTAAGGATGAGGCGTTGTTGGGTATTTGTTAAAATTCTTTGCTGTAGCAAATTCTTGAAACTGCTATGATCAGTCCTCATTGTAAAATGCCTCCCCAATAAGTAATGACGCCATTTTTGGAGTGCTAATACTGACGCCAAGAGCTCTTGATCATAAGCAAATTGAAACCTATTAGAGAAAGATAGCCCTTTGTTATAAAGAGCAATGGGATGGTCATTCTGCATAAGAATTGCCACAACACCATCCATGAAGGCATTACATTTTACAACAAACTCAGCAGTAAAGTTAGGAAGTTTTAAAACAGGAGCAATAATAAGATGACATTTAAGCCTCTCAAAGCTCTCTGTGCTTCAGGTGACCAGCAAAAAGCATTCTTTTTAGTTAATTCAGTAAGGGGATGAGCAATAATACCATAGTTCATGACAAACTGTCAGCAATAGCCTGTAAGCCCTAGGAAGCCATGAGGCTTGGTCACATTGGTAGGTTTTGACCACTCACTCACAGTGCTTATCTTTTCAAAGTATGTTTCTACTCTTTGTGCTGAAACTTTATGGCCCAAGAAGGATACACAAGTCTGTCCAAATTCACACTTCTTAAAGTTGGCATGGTAATGTTGTTGTTGCAGGGTGGTGAATGCTATTTGGAGGTGCTCTTCATGCTGCTTTGAAGTGGGACTATAGACTAGGATATCATCAAAGAAAACTAGTACAAACTTTTGAAGATAAGGGCGAAAAAGATCATTCATAGCTGCTTGAAAAGTAGCAGGGGTGTTTGTTGGTTTGAAAGGCATGATGACAAATTCATAGTGTCCACTATGTGTCCTGAATGTCGTCTTGTGAATGTCAACTGGTAGGACTCGAACTTGGTGGTACTCGGAGTGAAGGTCGATCTTAGAGAAATAAGTGGCACCATGTAACTCTTTTGAAAGCTCATCAATGTTGGGAATTGGGTATTTATTTGGGACCGTGATCTAGTTCAAAGCCTTATAGTATGCACAAAATCTTTCTTTACTAATAAGACTGGACTAGCAAAAGGGCTTGAACTTGGCTGTATGAAGCCTTTCTATAACAATTCATCTACTTGTTGCTCAATCTCAGTCTTCTGGAAGTAAGGATAGCGATAAGGACGCAAGTTAGGAGGTTGAGCCCCCAGTAGGAGATGGATGGCATGATAATGATCTCTGAAAGGCGGCAAGGTGGTGGGTTCATTAAACAAACTATCAAACTCCACCATGAGCTCATCCACATCTATTGACTGAGCATCCAGTGATCTCAATTTAAGCTCAGAAGAAAACATTGAGTGTAAACTTGCCTTTTGGTTGGTGGATGGAGGCACTCCTTGAAGCTTATACCTCTTACCATCAATCCAAAAAAAAAAAACATTTCATTCCAGTTGGCTTGGATTGTGTTCAATGAGGCTAATCACTTAATTTCTAGGACTAAATCTGTTCCCGCAAGAGAGAAGGGGTAGGAGTCTTGCTTAAGAGTTAAGCCTACAAGTTTTACTTCCGCTTCTTTACATACCTTGTTGCAGTGAACAATTTTGCCATCTCTAATTTGAACTCCAAAAATGGACATAGAGCAAGTAGGCAAGCTTGGTTCTTGAACCAATAAATCAAAAATGAAATTATGTGTGGATCCACTATCCACAAGTAGCAAGACATCACGATTTTGCACTAACCGAGTTTCATAGTTGTTGCAGTGTTATTGCCTAGTATCGCATTAAACGAGATCTCTATAGTTTCTGGAATCTCATCTTCAGCTTTTGTAACAGCTTCGTTTTACTCAGATAGTGGTTGGCCATCCTCGTCGATCTTCATAAGAGAGAGAAGAGGTTTTGCAGCGATGCCCAGGCTGAAAAACATCCCCACAACGGAAGCAGAGACCTTTATCCCTGCAGTGTTGCCGTTCGGAGTCCGAGAGAGCAAGTCTAATCAGCGTTGTGCTTGTTGGATGGAGGTTTGAAGATGACGCGTTAGAGCTCCTAAGTTCTTTTGGTGTAAATGCTGAAGCTGTCCCTTGTGAGTCACGTGCAGAGTTATTTTGTTGGCTGAAATAAAAATTGGACTGATTTTGATCATAAGAAGTTGTGGGCTTGGGCCCATGTTGAAGTTGAGACATTTTATCGTATTCTAGGGCAAGACTTACTGCCTTAAACACAGCATGTGGCATTCGCACATCAACTCTCAATTCTTCCTTTAAGCCAATTAAAAAAACTCCAATAAGGCAATGTTTTGGCTAGTGAGAAACTCGGGTACACACTTGGCAAATTCTTGTCTATATTCTTGAATAGATCTCGTTTGCTTGATAGAACAAAGGTGCTCATTAGGATTCTGGAATTTAGGCGGTCCATAGTGCTCTTGCAAAGCCCTCATGAGTTCATCCTAGTAATCATCCTAGTAAAGTAAGGTGCGTGCTGAATTAATCCAAGAGAATAAATCCAGTGCATCTCCCTCTAAATTCATGGAAGCAACATCTACCTTCAAGTCTTCTGGTGTTTGATAATACTGGAAAAATTTTTCAGCCTTCAAAATCTAGCCTCGTTGGTCCCCTCTACTAAATTTTGGAAAATCCATTTTTGTATATGGTGGTCGTGGGCCTCTTTTGTCAAAATCATCTTCACTGTCTTCCTCCTAATGAGAGTGCCTATAATGACCTTCCATAGTTCGCCTGCCTCTACCATTTACAGAAGCCTCAAGTGCCTCTACCTTTTCTTTCAACAAATCCAAGCGTCTCTAATTTGGAAGCAATTACTGTTAATAGGTCATCTGAAAATGGGTTTACAGTGGATTCATTGCGTGGGGGGTTATTGGAGGAAGTGGCATTTGAATCTATAGTTTTGTTGCTTGAACGTGTGGTCACCATGTTGATCGAACGTAGCTTGGATACCAAATTGATAAGAACTTAGAATAGTAGGGATTAGGAAGAGTAATCTACTAAGTTAGCCAGAGCGAGGATCTCACTCTAAATAACTTAACAGCCAAGTAGGAGAATCTTCAAAGGAGTAACGGGTTTATTTTTTCATTCATATCCTGCTGTGTATGAGAGCTTGGATATTTAAAATATAGGAGTAAAACTGAATAATTCAAATAATGCAAGATACTAGCCTAAAAATCAGGAACTACTTTGCAGGAACCTTCCTAACAACCTTGAGGTCCTATTATTTAGCAACTAATACTTAAAACAGAATAACAATTAAAATAACAGCAATAATTAATTTAAATCAGATAAATCCCTTAAAACATGCATGACAGCATCAGTTTCAACTATCTTCCTCTTCTTTCTACGATGATAAGTTATTAGTGGTCTCCTAAGCTGACTTGGATCCTTATCACAAGTAGCTTTATGGTCAAATTTTTTTCATGCAAGAGATTGTTCTTTGACGGCCCTTTTATTCTATTATGCCTTTTAGCTAGAAGTAAATGATGCTTATTTTCATTTCAGGTTTTCCCTGTTAAAACAGAGCTATTGAGGCCCCAAGAGAAAATGGAAAGTCCCATAACTGATTTGGTTAAAAAGGTATCTGTAATTCCCCAACATCATTTTATCAATGTATCTGTCTATTTAATATGTTTAATTTGTAATTTCCCAACATTATTTTATCGATGTATTTGTGTATTTGATATGTTTAATTTGGTAATATACTAGGGGGTTTAAATAAGTTCTTGAATGCTATTGTAGAGCTTAGAAGATGCAACTGATGTGTAATTTCAAATGTTTATGGATTTTTTTTTAAAAGAGTTTTGAGTCTTTTTTATGAACACGCTCCTCTACCAAAGAGCAGTAAGGAATTGTTTGGAATCATTGCAAGTGCTTTTTAACTAAAAAAATTTGTAAGCGCATTTTTGAATGGTTCTCTAAGGAGTTAGTTTATTTTTATTAATGTCAGGAACTGATTTATTTTATATTTTATATCTTGGATCCATTACCCATTGATCCCAAGCCACTGGGTAATTCAAGAAGGAATATTGATGTCAAGCATCTCTTGAAGGATTGCAAGTTGCTTGTTATGGATCACACCTTCAACTTCAAGTGCTTGAAGTGCTTCAAATTAGGTTGTATCATCTCCTTCAATTTTTCTTTCCCAAAATATTGCTAGTTGATTTTTGTGATTGGGAATTGTCTGGGGGGGTGTAATCCAGTAGAAAAAAAAATCATCCATTGCATTTAGGTTTTGTCATTTTGAAGCTTTCTTTCCCTTAGGTGTTGCTTTCATTTAGGTTGATAAGTCTATTTGCATTGAGGGTAATGTAGCATTTAAGTGTGGGGGGAAGTGTGTTTTAGGTCATTTGGCCAAAATTTTTAAAAAAATTTAAAAAACAGTTGTTTTGATATAAAAATTCTTAGTTTGATGAGATGCCAATGAGATTTGAAGTGTTAGACTTGGCTGTTTCAAGTGTAGCTAGGATAGGATAGAATGTTCTTACTTGGTTTGCTTGAGCTAGGGGATAACATAGCCCTGATGGAAGGTTATTTTGAACCTATGTTGATTCCTTTCTAGTGTGCATTTTCCACTTATTCCATTTCATTCTCCAGAACTTGTTCTAATTCTTTATCAAGCCTACTTTTGCATATGCATTGTGAAAATGATCAAGGCATTCGTATAAAATAGCCAGTCTAGCCAAATAGCCAACCTAACATGATTATATCCTTTGCTAGCCACTTTGGGCCTGTTGATTATTTTCTTTCATTCCATTCATTATTTACACCCTCTTGCTTTCTAGGAATGCATGTTATGCTATATTTATTATTGTTGGGATTCATTTGCATGTCTAGTATTCAAGTTTTGGATGTTTTGAATTGTATAAAATATTTGATATGAATTTGAATGAATTGAAGGTGAAAGCTGAAATGATTGTTTTGCAATAGCCATAAAAAAAAAGAAAAGAAAACAAGGAGAAAAAGCCAAGAAAAGATTGTCAAAAAGAAAAGGAACAAGGGCGATACAGCTAGGAAGAAAAAGAAAAGAGAACAAGGCGAAAAAGTCAAGAAAAGATTGTCAAAAAAGAAGAGAGAAAAAGGCAATAGGCAATGTGAAAAAATGTTTAAAAAAATGGAAAGAAAAAACCAGGAAAAAGAAGAAAAAAGAGTTATTGCTTGCTTGGTTATGAATCACTTTGCTCTTAATTTATAGTATTATTGTATAATTTCCATGTCTTGAACCTAGCTCATGCTTATGAATCCCATGTCATTGGTTTGCTGGATAAATGTGTACATGTGTTATACCTTTTTCCTTTCCACATGCATTCTTACATCCACTTTCCACCCTTTACATTACAACCAAATGAAAGACCTTTTGATTCATGCATGCATTTTGCTGATAAGTGGTGGAGATTTAGAATTTTTACAAGCCTATGGTAGAATGATTGGATAAGTGGACTTGAGTGAAAATTTACCCCTAAACACTAGTGAGTTGAGAGTAAACACTTTTCCCTGTGTTGTTATTTGCCTATCCAAGTTTACTAGGTTTGCATTCTGAATATTCTAGTTGCATGAGGATCATTTCAGGTTGATCATGGAGAATTGAATTGGCATAATCATCATTTTGAGCATGATGAACTCATTTATGTTTTCTATATATATATATATATATATATTTTAACTTCTTGAAATTTTGTCCAGGAGTGCAATAGCTATGTGTGGGGGATTTTGATGAGTGATATTTCATACCTATTTGTCACCCTCATTTTCCTTGGTTTTTGTCACTTAATCTTTACAAAAATAAGTATTTTAAACACTTTTTTTAATCATTTGAGTTGTGATTTTGGGATTTTTATGGTTAAAATGCAATATTGAAAGTTTTGGGCCAAAATTGTAATTTTCAAAAATATGTTCCAAAATTTCCCACATTTTATTAGTTTTCATATTTGAGTTCTACATCCCTAGGATGAATTTAGTTTGAGTTCATTCTCTTTAGTTAAGGAACAAAGCACACATTAACTACTTAGTTTCGTTATGTCCTAACATAAGACACTTTAACTACTTGGTTTAGTTATGTCCTAGGTTGTCTTCCGACCTAAGTGTGAGTGTACTAGGTTGTGAATTAACTTTGGGAATAATTTAAGTTTTCTATGTATGAAATTTTATTTTTAAATTAACTAATATTCATAACAATTTTTTCTTGCCATTCTACTTTTATTGCATTTGTCCCTTCTCCTCCTAAGAGGATGTTTTTTTTTTTCTCCGAAGAGTTTGAGTCTTCAGTGACAAGCTCCAACATGAGCACTATAAACTGATTGGAATCATTGAAGGGCAAGCTGAGCTAGATCCACAATTTAATGTAAGTGCTTTTCTTTAATGGTTGTTTAGGGAGTTTGTTCATTTTTTTAATGTCAGGAGTTGTTTTACTTTTTTTTTTTAAAATGGAATTCTTTTATTCTTTATTCTTCTTCCTGTGTTCTTTTTCCCACTTCATATTTGACCTGTCTTTGGAGATGGGAATATTTTGCATTAACCATGTATTGAGCACTAGGCTTCATGTTGGGGGCAATTTTTAGGATGAATAATATGTTTAGAGTTGGTGGAGGATACTTGGATAAAAGTTCAAACTATGTTTGTAGTTATTTTATTGTCTTGCTTGACACAGGGAAATTGATCACATGGGGGAGCTCTGTCTCTCTGTTTTTTCTCTGAAGTTTCTTTTCCTCCTTGGGCTTTCCTTTTCTTTTCTCTTTCCCTCTTCCTGTTGTTTATTGCTTGTTGCTTCTGGTCTTTGTTGTTGCTGATGGATCCTTTTCATGGAAAGTTTGTTATTTCTTCTTGGTGCAAGTATCATTATGTTCATGGAATCATTTGGGACAGTCGCAAGTTTCATCTGGCTAAGTTGAAGTTGAGGGGGTGTGTTTCTTTGGTTCTATTCTTTAATAACGGGTTCACTCATTACTTTGAACGTCATGAGGATTTGCTTTTCATGTTGAATGGTGGTCCGTACGTTTTATAAATGATGGCCTTGTTATCTTACAAGAATGGCAACCTTTAATTCCCTTGCATTTGAATCAATTTTCCAGTTGATTTTTATACGTTAGAAACTTCTTGGTTATTTGGATGTCAGGTAGGAAAATTTTGAGTTCGATCAAAAATGCCCCTGGAGAGGTTATGGTCTTTGTTTCAAGGCTAGTCTTCCTCCTTCAAGAAATCTAAGGTTTCATGGAAACCTCACGTTTGCCTCTGGGGTATCTTTCGCTTTCTTCATTCAATGTGAATGTCTCAACCGTGTTTGTTTTAACTGCTGTCAGATTGGCCGTGTTCAGGCAATGTGCAATCATTCAATTTCCTTGGATCCTTTCAATTTTCTTAAGTCATGGTTCCTTCATGGTCCTTCCAATCTTAGCATTTTGGTATAAATTTTGTTCTTTATAGATGGATAAATTTTTTGTTTCTATAAATTGTCTTATTGGTGATTGTATTTTAGATTAATTATTTATTTACCTGATACAGTTGGTTTTGTTAGTGATTGTCTTATTAGTGATTGTTTAATACAGTTGGTTTTGTATCTTTTTTGTATCAATGATATTTTATTTTGAGACACAAGGCATTCATTCATTTTATTTCATTATTTTTGGAAGACTAATCTAGACCATCCATTCTGAAAGAAATCGTATTGATAATGAGCTTTTAACCAATTTGTCCATTGATTTGATTGTGGCTTACTCTCATTCCGGATTGAACTGTTTTTTCCTCAAAATTGTCTTCCTTCATCATTTAGCTTATGACTTTAGCACTTCCTTGTCTCGTACTTCTTTTTATTTTTATTTTTGGGAAATCCCTAACTTTTACTGGCCAATGTTTTGACAATGGCGAGGCAGAGCAATCACTTGCTTTTTACACAGGGTGCTCTGCATCAATAGCTACACTAGCGAAGACTATTCATGAGTCAAAGTGTGTTCTGTTTGTTTTTTTGGTTTGGTCTTGTTTGTTTCAATGAAGTGTGTTTCTATTTGGGGTGATGGAATATGAGATAATTTATTTGCCATTTTAATTTGATGTGAAAATGTAGGTTTTAGATTGGAGATTTTTTATTAAACTTTTATTTTTCTTATTGATAATGTATTTTTTTTTGTTTTAATCTTTGTTTATTTATTAATTTATTTTCATATTTATTTTGTGTTATTGTATAATCATTATTCATCTTTTATTTATTTGGTAATATTGTTCAATTCACCAATAAAACATTTATTATTTATATTTATTTTCATTATATAATGCTTATTATTGTTAGTCTTCTTTTCATGTTTGTTCTTTGTAGATGGATAATTGCTATAAATTTTTTGTTAATTATTATTTTGATACAGTTGGTTTTGTATCTTTTTCTTATGAATGTTATTTTATCTTGAGACACATTGCATTTAATTCATTTTATTTCGTCATACTGAATGAAATCGTATTGATAATGGGTTTTAACCAATTTGCCCATTAATTTGATCGTGGCTTATGGTCATTCCAGATTGAAATTTTTCCTCAAAATTGTCATTTTCTTCTTTCTTATTTTGCTTATGACACAAGTGGTTCTTTGAATATGGGATAATTTATTTGCCATTTTAATTTGATGTGGAAATGTAGGTTTTAGATTGCACATTGTAGCAAGTGCAATTTACTTCATTTTTTTCTTTCTTTGTTATCCCTAACTTCTATTGGCCAATGTTCTGACAATGGGGGAAGAGTGATCACTTGCTTTTTAGGGTGCTCTGGTTCAGTAACTACACTAGTGAAAATTGTTGGTGAGTCAGAGTTTCTGTTTGTTTCTTTGGTTTTTTCTTGTCTTTCCATGAAGTGTGTTTCTTTTACTGATTTTACCTCATTGGTTTTTACACAGGTGCTCTACTTCAGTAGCTACACTAGCGAAGACTGTTTGTGAATCATTGTCTGTTCTGTTTGTTTTTTTGGTTTTTTTTTCTTGGTCTTGTCTTTCTGGGTAATGGAATATGGGATAATTTATTTGCCATTTTAATTTGATGTGAAAATGTAGGTTTGAGATTGCAGATTGAGGTATAGGGCAATTTAATTTTATTACACGGGTGTATCTTGCACCCCTCAACTACATCATATGTTGACATATAATTTCTATTTACCTTTCTTTTTTTAACTGGGTTTTTTCATGTTGCCTATTAATTTCACTTGATTATTTTTTTGCTTTCTAATGGGTGTTTAATGTAATTGGTTCTTTATTGGAATATTTTATTATTTATTTTGTTCCTTTTATTATAATTCCCTCACTTTCAAAGACTTATTTTCATTATATAATGCTTACTATTGTTAGTCTTCTTTTCATGTTTGTTGATTTTTTTTTTGTTTCTATTTGTCTTATTAGTGATTGTATGTTTGAGTAATTATTTATTTACCTGATAATTGTTTACTACAGTTGGTTTTGTATCTTTTTCGTATGTGAGACACATGGCATTCATTCATTTCATTTTGTCATTTTTGGGAGACTCTAGAGCATCCATTCTGAAAGAAATTGTGTTGATAATGAGCTTTTCACCAATTTGTCCTTTGATTTGATCTCTCCGGATTGAATCGTTGTTGACTTCAGTACGAAACTTCATTTTTCTATTTTTGTCATCCCTAACCTCTATTGGCCAAGTTCTGACAATGGCGGTGCAGTTGCTCTGCTTCAGTAGCTACACTAGCAAAGACTGTTTGTGAGTCATAGCGTGTTTTGTTTGTTTTTTTGGTTTGGTCTTGTTTCTGTGAAGTATAATTTTATTACAAATGGGTGCATCTAGCACCATTAAACTACATCATACTATTCTTGATCAGGTACATCATAAATTTTATAATTTCTTAAAGCTAGCTAATTGCCATTCTTTTTTTAACTTGATGGGATTTTACTGATTTCACTTTAATTTCTTTTAAATAGGTATTATTCAATACAATTTTGGCTTGTTATTTTGTCATTTCTCTTTTTTTAACTTGATCCTCATACTTTCTCTTATTTTTCTTATTGACTTTGTTTATTTATTAATTTATTTTTATTTTGTGTTATTGTATAATCATTATTCAACTTTTATTTATTTGATAATATTGTTCAATTCAACAATAGAACATTTATTATTTTTATCTTATTAGTGATTGTATTTTTGATTAATTGTTAATTATTATTAATGCAGTTGGTTTTGTATCCTTTTATGAATATTATTCGTCAGTGATGGAATATGTGATATTATTTGTCAGCGGTAAAGGCAATTTTTATTATTATTTTTTTGCTTTCTAATAGGTACTATTTAATATAATTGGTTCTTTATTGTATAATTTTGGTTTGTTATTTTATCATTCTCTTTTTCACTTGATTCCCCATCTTGTTTATTATATTATTTTATTATACATTTTTTTAGCTCTTATTTTTCTTATTGATATTTTTTTGTTTTTGTCTTAGTTTATTTATTAATTTATTTTGTGTTATTGTATAAACATTATTTGATGATGTTGTTCCTTTGATTACAATTCACTTTCAAGACTTATTTTTACTTATTTTTGGTCTTCATGTTTGTTCTTTATGGATTTTGTTTCTACAAATTTTGTCTTGTTAGTGATTGTATTTTCAATTAATTATTTTACCTAATAATTATTGCTTAATACAGTTGGTTTTGTATCTTTTTCATATGAATGATATTTGTTTTATTTCAAGACACATGGCATTCATCCATTTTCTCATTCCTGGTTGAACCCTTTTGTTTGCTCTTCTTTTCAATCCTTTAGACATGTCATGTCTGAGAATCATCATTTTTTCTTCCTTCATTATTTTGCTTATGACTTCAGCACCTCCTTGTCTCCTACTTTATTTTTTTCTTTCTTTGTCATCCCTAACTTCTATTGGCCAATGTTCTGACAATGGTGGGGTAGAGAAATCTACACTTGGTGCTCTGCTTAGTAGCTATAGTCTGACATGTGAGTTTGAGTCTGTTCTGTTTTTGTTTTTGGTTTTTCTTGGTCTTGTCTGTTTTCATGAAGTGTGTTTCTGGGTGTTGGAATGTGGGATAATTAATTTGTCATTTTAATTTGATGAATTGTAGATTGTGGAGGGGTTCATCTAGCGCCACTCACTACATCATACTTGTTGTTGACCAGGTAAATTTAACAATAATCAAAGATATTTTTACTTCGAGCTAGCTATTTACCGTTATATTTTTAACTTGCTTTTTATCTTTCTCTTGATTCCCTATCTTGTTCATTATATTATTTTATTATACATATTTTTATCTCTTATTTTTCTTATTGATAACTTATTTTTTCTGTTTTTGTCTTAGTTTGTTTATTAATTTATTTTCATATTTATTTTGTGTTATTGTTTAAACATTATTCACCTTGTCCCCCACTTTTATTTTTTTCTCTCTGTCATCCCTAACTTCTATTGGCCAATTGGCAGAACAGAGCAATCACTTGATTTTTACACAGGGTGCTTTGCTTCAATAGCTACACTTGTGTGAGTAATTTGTTTTTTTTTCTTGGTCTTTGTTTGTTTCTGTGAAGTGTGTTCTTTTTAGGTGATGGAATGTCACATTTTAATTTGATGTCAAAATGTAGGTTTCAGATTGTAGATTGTGGTAAGGGCAATTTAGAGGGGGTGCATCAAGCACCACTCAACTACATCATACTTTGAAATTGAATGATGATTATACAATAACAATATGTAACAAATGAAGGAGATAGAACAATATCTATAATAAGAATAAATGAAAGAAAGTAAATTTGCATAGTGAAGAAAAAAGATATATAATTAAATGAATTAGCAATAAATCTCAACTTAACTGTGGTCATTCGGATTTTCAGGCAAGGACCCATCAGCCTACCAAGCTTGCATGGGTGATATGACACCAACAAGGGCGGAAACCCGCCTTCAACCATCATGAAGTAAAGCCCCTGGGTGCGATGCCTCATTATGGAGCGGTCCGACAATAGCTGGCAATGTATAGCTACAGGTTTGATATCCGGATTATAGCAAAACATGAAAGCAGTCTTCTTTCATATTGAGATTAACAAGTCGACAGTCTCAAAAGCTTGGCTGTAGACCTTTCTTCACAAAATCACTTCCTTCAACACAGCCTTCCTTCATTTCCTACTGACGTAGCCATAACAACACATAACCAGTAACCTTACAGGATTTTCGCAATTGCCACAAGCTTGCCCTAGGCTGTCAACTCTTTTCAGGACTTTTCAGAGACTTGCCACTAGCTTGGCATGGGTTGTCAAGGCTTGTTCATGCCTAGGCAACATTTGCCACGAGCTTGCCCTTTGTTGCCAACAATTGCAACAAGCTTGCACGAGGTTGCGAATGCAGGGCCTTGTCAATGTGTGCCACAAGCTTGTCATGGATTGCTAATGCTTGTTCGTGCCTTGGTAACACCTGCCACGGGCTCGTCCTTCATTGCCAACAATTGCCACAAGCTTGCACTAGGTTGCCAACTCTTTCCAGGGCTTTCTAGACACTTGCCACTAGCTTGGCATGGGTTGCCAAGGCTCGTTCGTGCTTAGGCAAAATTTGCCGAGCTCGCCCTTCATTACCAACAATTGCCATAAGCTTGTACGAGGTTGCCAACACTGTCCAAGGCCTTCCAAATAGTTACCACAAGCTTGGTATGGGTTGTCAACGCTTGTTCGTACCTAGGCAACACTTCCCACGAGCTCGCCTTTAGTTTTCCAACAATTGCCACAAGCTTGCACCTGACTGCCAATGCTTCCTAGGGCTTTCCAATGCTTGCCACAAGCTTGGCATGGTTGCCAATGTGCCTTTGCAGCGCTTGCCAGGGGTTCGCCCTTCGTTGTCAACAATTGCCAAAAGCCTGCACTAGGCTGCCAACGCTTTCCAGGGCCTTTCCAACACTTGTCACAACCTTGGCATTCGTGTCTTAGCAACACTTGTCACGAGCTCGTCATTTGTTGTCAACATTTGTCACAAGCTTGCACTTGTTCGTGCTTTGGCAACACTTGCCACAATCTCATTCTTGGTTGCCAACAATAGCCACAAGCTTGCAAGGGCCATCCAAAACATTTACCACATGTTCATGCCTTGGCAGTACTTGTCACGTCCTTTGTTGCCAACAATTGTCACAAGCTTGCATGAGGCAGCCAACACTTAAGGCTTGCCAATGCTTGCCATGGGTTGCCAACACAAGATTGCGCGAGGCTGCAAATGCTTCCCAGCATTAGCTACCGTGTGCAAGCTTGTGGTAATTGTTGGCAAGGAAAGACAAGGTTGTGGCAAGTGCTGCCAAGGCAGGAACAAGCAGTGGTAACTCATTTCAAGCTTGTGGCAGTTTGGAAGGCCTTGGTAGCTCTTGCCATGAGCTCACCCTTCGTTGCCAACATTTGCCACAAGCTTGCACGAGGCTGTCAAAGCTTCTCAAGGCTTTGCCAATGCTTCCTACAAGCTTGGCATGCTTGGCATGCGGTGCCAACGATTGCTCGTGCCTTGGCAGCTCTTGCCACGAGCTCACCCTTCGCTGCCAACATTTGCCACAAGCTTGCACGAGGTCACCCTTCGAGGCCAACATTTGTCAAAAGCTTGCGCGAGGCAACGTTTTTCTGGGGCTTGCAAATGCTTGCCAAAAGGTTGGCATAGGTTCCTTAGTACGAGCTCAGCTTTCGTTGCCAACATTTCCCACAAGCTTGCACGAGGCTGCCAACGCTTTTCAAGGCCTTGCCAACGCTTCCGACCAGCTTGGCATGGGGTGCTGCTCGGGCCTTGGCAGCTCTTGTCACGAGCTCACCCTTCATTGCTAACATTTGCCAGAAGCAAGAAGCTGCCAACGCTTCCCAGGGCCTTGCCAATGCTTGCCACAAGCTTGGCATGGGGTGTTAACGATTGCTCGTGCCTTGGTAGCTCTTGCCACAAGCTCACCTTTCGTTGCCAACATTTCCCACAAGCTTGCATGAGGCCGCTTCCTAAGGCCTTTTGCCATAAGCTTGGCATGGGTTGCCAACGATTGCTTGGCAACTCTTGCAATTGCTAACATTTGCCCTTGAGGCTGCCAACACTTAGGGCCTTGTCAATGCTTCAACAAGCTTGGCATGGGGTGCAAGCCTTGATAGCTCTTGCCATGGGCTCACCTTTCGTTGCCAAACATTTTCCAGAAGCAATCATGAGGCTGCCAAGGCCTTGCCAATGCTTCCCACAAGCTTGGCATGGGGTGCCAACGATTGCTCATGCCTTGACAGCTCTTGCCACGAGATCACCGTTCGTTGCTAACATTTGCCACAAGCTTGCACTGCCCATTGCTTACCACAAGCTTGGCATGGTGTGCAGAAGATTGCTTGTGCCTTGGCAACTCTTGCCACGAGCTCACCCTTCGTTGCCAACATTTACCAGAAGCAATCATGAGGCTGCCAACGCTTCTAGGGCCTTGCCAATGCTTCCCTGCTTGGCATGGAGTGCCACCAATTACTTGTGCCTTGGCAGCTCTTGCCACGAGGTCACCCTTCGAGGCCAACATTTGGCACCAGCTTGTGCGAGGCTGCCAGCACTTCCTAAGCACTTGCCAACGTTTGCCATATGGGGAGCCAATAGTTGCTCGTTCCTTGGCAGCTCTCGACACAAGCACCCCCTTCGTTGCCAATATTTCCCACAATATTTCCCACACGCTTGCACGAGGTTGCCAACGTGCGCTTGCCACAAGCTTGGCATGGGGTGCCATCGATTACTCGTGCCTTGGAAGCTCTTGCCACGAGCTCATCCTTCGTTTCCAACATTTGCCACAAGCTTGCACCTAATGCTTTCTTGCCAACGCTTCCCACAAGCTTGGTATGGGTTGCTAATGATTGCCCGTTCCTTGGCAGCTTTTGCCACGAGCTCACCCTTCATTGCCATCATTTACCACAAGCTTCCCAGGGCCTTGCCAACGCTTGCCATAAGCTTTGGCACGGGGTGCCATCCTTAGAAGCTCTTGTCGCGAGCGCACCCTTCGTTTCCAACATTTGCCACAAGCTTGCACAAGGCTCCCAACGCTTCCCTGCCAATGCTTCCCACAACCACAAGCTTGGCATGGGTTGCTAATGATTGCTTGTTTCTTGGCAGCTTTTGCCATAAGCTCACCCTTCATTGCCATCATTTACCACAGCTACCAACGCTTCCCAGGGCCTTGCCAACGCTTGCCACAAGCTTGGCCTGGGGTGCCAACGATTACTCGTGCCTTGGAAGCTCTTGCCGCGAGCTCACCCTTTCCAACATTTGCCACAAGCGCTTTCAACGCTTCCCAGGGCCTTGCCAACGCTTCCCACAAGCTTGGTATGGGTTGCTAATGATTGCGGCAGCTTTTGCCACGAGCTCACCCTTCATTGCCATCATTTACCACAAGCTTGCACGAGGCTGCCAACGCTTTCCAAGGCCTTGCTAATGCTTGCCACCAGCTTGGCATGAGTTGCCACTCGTGCCTTGGTAGCTCTTGCCACGAGCTCACCCTTCGTTCCTAACATTTGCCACAAGTGCCAACGCTTCCTAGGGACTTGTCAATGCTTGCCACAAGGTTGGCATGGGGTGTCAAGGATTGCTCATGCCTTGGTAGCTCCTGATACAAGCGCCCCCTTCATTGCCAACATTTGCCACAAGTTTGCACGAGGTTGCCAACGCTTCTGAGGGCCTTTGCCAATGTTTTCCACAAGCTTAGAATGGGTTGCTACCGATCGCTCGTTCTTTAGCAGCTCTTAGAACGAGCGCCACCTTCGTTGCCAATATTTGCCGCAAGCTACCAACGCTTCATAAGGCCTTGCCAACGCTTGCCACAAGGTTGGCATGGGGTGCCAACGATTGCTCGTTCCTTGGCAACGCTTGCCACGAGGTCATTCTTCATTGCCAACATTTGCCACAAGCTTGCAAGAGCCTGCCAACGCTTCCTAGGGACTTGTCAATGCTTGCCACAAGGTTGGCATGGGGTGTCAAGGATTGCTCACGCCTTGGCAGCTCCTGATACAAGCGCCCCTTCAACATTTGCCACAAGCTCGCACGAGGTTGCCAACGCTTCCGAGGGCCTTGCCAATGTTTTCCACAAGCTTAGAATGGGTTGATACCGATCGCTCGTTCTTTAGCAGCTCTTAGAATGAGCGCCACGTTGTCAATATTTGCCACGAGCTTGCAC